TTGGCTGAAGACATTTGATATAAAAAAACGGCCAAAACAGGGTCAGCTAAAATCTTAAAATTAAAAAATCAAAGACTTCTTGTGGGCTCTCCTGTCATATAAATGGCATATAAATTTTCGAACAAACCTTTGATGTATGAAACATCGGACAATATAAAAATATGAGATTCATATAATAAACCCTTTCTTTTAATTTAGCCCAAAATTGTAGTTTGCAAACCTTTTTTTATAATTTAGCCCTCAGAAGAAACCGTCATGTTAAAATTCATGTGTTATCATGTTCCAAATTGGGCTAAAATTAAATTTATTTATGATATTATATTAGTATTTTTCAAATAATAATGACTGTGATAGACGAATGGACAGCAATGGTTTCGTTTTTTTGAGAATTTTGAGAATTATATATTTTTGAGAAACTGCATTTACAAATAATTTTTATCAAGGCTCATTTGTTTTAGAGCATATCTCCCTTCTGATAAAAACTCTCGTAATTCACCTAATATGTACTCAGCCTAAACCGCCCTTTATATTACAAAAGAAACTTCGTAGATTTTAATCTAAAGTTAAAAACAATTTGTAATAATTTACTATAGAAGCAAAATTTCAACACGGCCACAGAATGGCGTTCAAAGTCAAAGCGAAAAGAAAGTTGTGGCATAAAAATAATTGCGAACTTCAAGACATAGTTACGATTGTTGAGGCAAGGCATTATCTCGTAGCGTCAAAGCTCACAGCAAGTTTGACCAAATGACGTTGTCTTCTTAAAAAGTATTTTAATTTGATAAAGAAAGTTCCTCTGAGAGAGTCGACCGCCGGCAATACGTTCTGGGACGATTTGCATTTTTATGAAAACGTTTTACGTCGGAACCGAGGGGCCCTTTCACAATGTGCTACGATGGTGTAAATTTTGATAAGGTTGAATAGTGTTTGAATGACTAAGTACCCTTTCTGTAGTAAAACTTATAAAAATCTGCTAAGATTTTTCAGTACATTATATTAATTTATTGTCTTTTATCGTACTAGTAATATAAACATCGATATAACATAAGTTATATCGAAGGTTATGAAACCTTTAAACTTCATGATATATGTCTTGAGTTGATTTTAATATCGAAACCAAATTTAAGCACAAATATTAAATAAGTAAACAAATTCTAGGCAATTTTAAGCCTTCTGAAAACAAGTCCAGCCATTTCGTTCATAGTTTAATGTCTTGCCTTTCGCATTGCTGTAACAAGTGTCCTTGATATATATCGGTCATTAGCAGTTAATGAATAATTTAGCTAACGAGTGAACTGGGCTCCTGTTATTGGCTGAATTATTCCCACCTTTCCTGCGTTCAAATAGCATTTCTCGTTAATTGCTGTCTGACTGGTGTTCACTAATTGCTTAAGTTCTGGGATCTCTTGACTCTTCATTTTAAGTGGTAGACTACTATTAAAGTAAAAAATTGTTAAGGCTGTTTTTAACTTCCATCTTTCCATCTGTTCATAATTTCTATTGAAGTTCGCCAGACAACAAAAAAGTATTCCTTCTAAAAATGCTAAGACAATAAAAAAAATAGAGGGTTTGAAATTTACTTTAGAAAATTAAGTTTTATGTACACGGAAATTAATCTAAATTAAATTGAAATTCCTTCTCTTATTGGATTGATTTATTATTCTATCGAAGCCTAAACTTGACTTTTATATCACTGATTCCTAAATTAAGAGAGCCGGAGAAAAAGGAGTCAGTGGGTAATGGGGGCCGACATGAAACAAACGAACTTGAACGCGTAATGGAATATTCGCAACTGTTCACAAGGTAGTTGGACTTGCGAAAACACAGGCAAATCAATACGTAAAATCGCTAATGAGACTGGTATTCCTTTTAGCACGTTGCAAAGAATTAAAGAAAAAGCTAACATTAGGAAAACATTCTACTTTCACAAAAGAACAAGAAAATAGGCTCGCAGAGCGTGTGTTCTTATTGAGCAATAAAGTTCAACAGATTCATCTGCTAAGGAACAGGTACCTTATGAAACCCCACAGAATACTCAGGATCAGTGTGGAGATCAGTCTCTTTGCGCGATATGTCTCGAAGCAGACAAACCAAGAAAAGTATGGTACCGTTGTCGTCTCTCTGGTGGGTGATCCCATGAGCAGTGCAAAGGACGGATGCTGAGCTTAGTCGTTATCGTATTAATTTTTGCACAAACCAATAATTTAAAAATATATGGTTATTGTCAATTGCATAATTTGTTCATTTATCTCAGATTTTAGTGACCATGTTATATTTTTTATTTTTATTTAACTATTTCATGTTACGAAATTTTTACTCCGATTTGGAACCGCATAGACTGATTCCATTGTCCGCACAAGTGGGAAATCGGTGTCATTTTTTTTAATATTGAATCGTATTATGTTTATTAGTGTGATAAAGAAAACATATTTATGCTACTTGATACAGGAATGAATTATAATTAATAATAGTCAAATGTAAAGACTGAATAATTTGTGATTTTATAATGAGTATTCCTTAGGTGACTCCCATTCCCCCCGTCACTCCTATGTTTAAGTAAAATGCGTCATTTTTGTAGTTATTTTTTTTAATTGTAAATGAGAGAATACTAATTAATATTAAATTTTTCTTCACGAATGATTGTATATAATACTTCACAATTTATACCTTCTTTTGTTTCAATAATGTACATTATATCCTTATTAGTTTCTAACTAGAAAGTGTTAGATAAATAAGACCCATACAAACCAAAATATAGCATTTTACTTACATTTCACATTTTATTCTTACTCAAAATAAGAGACAATATAACTCGCATAAGCAAAATATAACATCTTATAATTATAATCGTTATTTGCGAAGATATGATTACAGCATGGTCTTACATTTTATATTAGATCAGCATGTTTCATCTGTCATCAACACATCATATTTTATCTATAATCTGATAATATACATAAAATATTCTAAAGCAATTCATAGTTAATGAAGTTCAGATTTTAATTATCTTTTTACTACATATTATTTTCTTGTGGACATTAGAATTGACTTAAATAAAATATTTATTTAAGACAGACATGAAACCATAAATTCAGCTTCCCATGTTCCCTTATAGAACTTTTCTATAAAACTGACACCGAAATCCAATACAAAATTACTTTTTCACGATCTCCTTATCTATTTAAGAACAAAGGAGGGTAACAGAAGGAACGTTTTGAAACTAACCGTGATTTATACTAAGGCCCGAGTTTCGCGGCCCATGTCAAACCTGATTCTGAGAGTTTCAGCCATTAATATTCATTACAATTCCCAACTTGTTCGCGTTTATTTAATTTTATCAGCAATAGAACACTACTTCACTATCAAACCTATTCGCGAATGGAATAAACTACAATGAATTTTAAAGAATGTTTAATTACCGATTGCCTTTCGCTTGTTAAAGATTTTGCTCGTTAATCCATGTTATAAATAAAGGAATAAAGTTCTTATATTTGATCAATTTGCATTTACAATGCCATACTGAAATTCTTAATGATTCCACTTTGTCCCTGGCACTCTGAGATGACGAACCTATACTACCCATAATAAAGTTGTTCAATCTATATTATAATATAATAATGAGGTAAATTTTCTAACTTTATTTGTTAGATGGTAATCTACGGAAATACTAATCCGTTACGAAATTTTTTTCACCTACGGGAAACTATACCTTACGCAAGTGACAAAGGCTATATATAATATTTTTAGGTAAACTCGTGGGAAACAACTAATCTTTTATATACGAGCAAATCGAAATCGGTCACTTATTCTAAATGATAAGGAGTGCAGTAAAGCTTCTGGAAAGTAATCTTTTCCAGTATGATTAACCGTTGGTGGCAGTTCTTAGCGTGTCGCTTATCAATACACGAACTATCATTTCATTTAGAACACTTTTAACAATATTATTATTTCCTTTATGTAATAAAGTATAATCGAAAGAAAGTAACATCTCGCATTTTTGCAGCTCTTGGATTAACACAATCTCTAAAAAGAGCACTTATAAATCTAAACATTGTATGTAATAAAGAAATAGTAATAGAGTATTATCTGTATTTTCTTATTTCAATCCAGTAGTAAAAACACTTCAATCCACTCGGCAAAAATATACGGATCGTGACTTCAACTGCAACCTGGGTATAATGCGGGTCGGTCACTCCCGCGATTTCCGCTTAGTCTTCAATTTAATTTGATCCCGGTCCCTCTCCCCCTAACCGCAACATGCTATGAGCGCCTTCTTATAAACTCCTTTCAATCCTTCTGCTAGATCGACTGTGGAGCTTTAGCGTGTGGCATCGGAGTTTTCATCTGAATTAATAAAATACAAAATTATACATTTTTATTTAAATTTATGACATTCTTATTTGAAAAATTCAATATATTTTATGAGATATGTCTATTTCAAATTTCGAATATACATATTAACATTACAAACAGATTTGTTGTATGTATATCATATCCTTAGCTTATAAACCATAATCGTCAATTAAAAAAAAATTATAAAAAACGTAACACTTATTCCACCACATTATTTGTAAGCGAATAATAAAAGAAATCAATTTCTCTCAGAAGGAGCGAGCTCATCACAGATTCAAAACTCTAAGCTTTACATGATCGAATTACTTAGGAAACCTTATATGTCTCTGATTAAGACTAAAAAGACGGGGGATGATGTGGTTCGCGTCCGTAGGAAGATTACCTAACCAATGCCCTACACGTGTCCCCCGGGTGGTGCTAAACGAACTACAACGCCGAGCCTCGGGCGGCGGTCAACTAACCCGACACTACTACTGGCCTAACAAGCCGGTCTTCTGTGGTTATTAGGAAATGAATAGCCACGCCCGCAACCGCTGTCTTGCGATCGGGAGTCTTGGCTTAGTTGCCTGGACTGTGAGGAAGAAATCCTCTATAAAATAATAACCCCAATTCCACGGTGGGAGACGTGCCAATGGAATGCATGGCTGATGGGTGATCAGTCCTTAGCGCCGACCTCGACGGACCTGGCAAACGTCGTTGTAGTGAGCCTTCTTGGGGGAATGGGCGTCACCCCTCAAGTGACCTTATATATCGACCCTACTCGTGGGAATAAAATGAATATTACTAAAGAAAACAAAAATCAAATGATACAACAAACACTTCATAAAAGTATCTTCAAACACACTAGGAGTGTTTCCCTTGGTACACTACCGAATGAAATAAATACACAAAATACAATCAATGAAAAGTCAGCAACTAATAGCAGTAATACAAACAATGAACAAGACAACACATCATGGCAAAATGATCAGGTACCTATGAAAAGGAAAGCTGAAGCAAGTCCTGAAATCACTAACAAAAACAAACTTCCTAAAACAAGATACGCAATCCCAACCCAAAATAGATTCTAAGCCCTGGAAACTGTAGACGGTGCTGAAACTACCAAAGAATATAGAGACACTAAACCACCGAAACCAGAACCTATATTCGTCACTGGAGTCATAGACATAAACAAACTAAAAGACCTTCTCGCAACTATTGTGGAAACTGGGAAATACACTATAACAACCCTGAGATCCGGTCACATAGTTAAAGATATGCCAGCCGATATAGATACCTATAAAAACATAAGAGCTATTTTTATCGAAAAAGATGTAAGTCACTATACCTACAAACTCAAAAGTGAAAGAGCCTATCGTGTAGTCCTACGTGGTCTACACTCATCTGAAGACACCGAAACCATAAAAAAAGAGCTACACGAACTTGGACATGAAATCAGACACATAACAAATATAAGACACAGAAACACAAAACAACCAATGCCTATATTCTACTTGGACATAGAACCAAAACACAACAATAAAGACATATTTAAAATTAACAAATTAAAACACGTTAAAATCACATTTGAAGCACCATATAAAAAACTAGATGTCCTGCAGTGCAAGAGATGCCAGAGGTTCGGACATGCCAAGAACCAATGGAATAGACCATTCAGATGCGTGAAATGCGGGGAAGATCACCCTACATCAAGTTGTTTAAAGAGGCCTGATACTGAGGCGACCTGTGCGAATTGTCAAGAAAAGCACCCGGCCAGCTATAAAGGCTATACAAAATATAAGCAATATCGGGACTTAATTATGAAAAAGTCTACTAATAGAAACAGAACCACTGAACAAAGAACTAAACAACAATCAGACATTAGAGTTAATACCACTGAACAAAAAAACCAAAACAAAGAAAATTTGCAAACAAAATACAACACTTATGCACAGGCAACAAAGGCCAACAGCTCAGCAGGAGCAAAAACAGACATCAAAGATCCTAACAATTTTGTCGAGGTATTGAATGTAATGTTTGAAAAATTACAAAACATGATGAAAGTTATGTTAGACAACATGATGGATCGAATGATCCAATTAATTACAAGTCTTATAAAACATCCCTAAACTTAAGGGTAATTACCTGGAATGCTAATGGACTGACCGAACGCAGACTGGAACTTGAACTTTTCCTTAAAACTGAAAGAGTAGATATCGCCTTAATCTCTGAAACACGTTTTACTCTAAAAACTAACTTCAGCTTGCAGAACTATAAAGTGTACACAACAAACCACCCCTCTGGTAACTCACATGGTGGAACTGCAATTATTATTAAAGAAAATATCAAACACTATCCTCTCGAAGAATACCAAACTGAAAAGATACAGGCTACCTCAATCAGAATCCAAGATAACAAAACAGAGACAACATTTTCAGCAATATATTGCCCACCAAAACACCTTATTACCTCAGACGATTTTATAGCTTACTTCAGAACATTGGGTAACAGATACATTTGCGGGGGAGATTGGAACGCAAAACATGTATTCTGGGGCTCTAGGCTAACTACACCACGTGGTCGACAACTATACACAGCTATGAATAATCTTAACCTTCACAGCGCTTCACACGGAAAACCCACATACTGGCCTGCAGATCCAAAAAAGGTTCCAGACCTGCTGGATTTCTTTATGATTAAAAATATACTACTAACCCAAATAAGCATTGAAGAATGTATTGACCTTTCATCGGATCATACACCTGTTATACTCAATGTCCATTGTAGGGCTGTTCAGGTTAAGGGACTTCAGAGACTCTATAATAGTAGAACTAACTGGGACAACTACAGAGCCAAAATAGCAGAAAACATAAATCTACTCTTGCCACTAAATGATGCGAACATCGTCGAATCTTCTATTGAGTCATTTGTGAAGCTTATCCACCAAGCCGTCATAGACTCAACACCCCCTGTGAGACCGAAAATAAGTAACAACTTTTCCTATTGTAAAAGAATAAAGCTTAAAGTACAAGAAAGAAGTCAGCTACGGAAAATCTGGCATTCCACAAGATATCCACAGGACAAAAAAGCCTTCAACAAGGCATCAGAAGAACTAAAAACCATGATCCTTCAAATAAACAATGACCGACTGCAAGATAAACTAGCCAACCTAACTCCATACGTGGACACTAACTACTCTTTGTGGAAGGTAACAAAGAAGTTCAAAAGACCCATAGCGCATGTACCCCCTATAAAAACCACTGAGGGTAAGTGGGCAAGAACGGACCTTGCAAAGGCCCAAGTGTTCGCTGAGCATCTTGAATCTGTATTCCAACCATTTCCTAGTAATGACTCCGAGCATGACAAAGAAGTTAGCGAATACCTACTCTCACCACTGCAAATGTGCATGCCGAATAAAAGTGCTAGCCCCACTGAAGTACATAGAGAAATATCAAAACTGCAGGATGGCAAAGCACCTGGATATGACTTAATTGATGCCCAATTACTAAAGCAACTTCCCAAAAAGGGCTTGATGTACATCACAGCAATTTTTAACGCCTGCATTAGGCTGAACATCTTTCCCGCACAGTGGCAAATAGCACAGATCATAATAATAGCCAAACCAGGCAAGCCACTTCGTGAAGCTAGTTCTTATAGACCAATAAGTCTTCTCTCTGTAATGGGGAAACTTCTGGAAAAAATACTGCTGAACAGGATGTGCTCCTTCTTACCGGAAGTGGTGCCACTTCACCAATTTGGCTTCAGAAAAAAGCACGGAACCATTGAACAAATTCACCGCATCACGGATACTATAAGCCGCTCCCTAGAATATAAACAATTCTGTTCTGCCGTGTTCCTAGACATTAGTCAGGCCTTCGATAGAGTGTGGCACGAAGGACTCCTGTTCAAAATAAAACAGCTGCTTCCTCATTCATTCTTCCCAATATTGAAATCGTATCTCGACAAAAGATGTTTTGAGGTAAAATTCAAAAATGAGACTTCTTCATTGAAAGAGATTCTTTCAGGAGTACCACAAGGGAGTATTTTGGGCCCCTTACTGTACCTCTTGTATACTGCAGACTTGCCTACGCAAGACGACACCATAACTGCCACATACGCCGATGACACAGCCGTGCTCTCTGCCCATGATAATCCAGAAATAGCATCAGCTAAACTACAAGCTCACGTCTCCAAGATTGAAGAATGGCTAAACAAATGGCGCATTAAAGCAAATCAAAGCAAATCTGCCCATGTCACCTTTACACTCAGAAAACCGACTTGCCCTCCTATAAAACTCTACAACGAGGATATTCCACAAGCTGAAGATGCCAAATATCTCGGAATGCATCTGGATCGAAGGCTGACTTGGAGAAAGCATATCTGGACTAAGCGTAAACAACTAGACACAAAAGTAAGATCGATGTATTAGCTAATAGGTCGGAAATCACATCTGTCAAACGAAAGCAAGATTGCAATATATAAGACTATACTGAAACCCATATGGACATATGGTATTCAACTGTGGGGGACTGCTAGTAACAGCAATATCGAAATTCTTGAAAGATTCCAGAGCAAAACACTGAGAGCATACCATATTATGTGAGCAACAAATTTATTCATGAGGATCTGAAAATCAATACAGTCAAACAGGAGATTTCAAAACATACTACAACCTACTAAACTCGAATATCAACTCACGTCAATGAGCTGGCTTCTAAACTACTTGGTACAGGAAGTGTGTCACACAACAGATTGAAGCGGCATGATGTCCCTACTCTAACTGCGAGATTTCATTAAGGAACGAATATAAGGAGTTCTTTGTGCTAGTATTGCCATAATCCGAAATTTTCCACCAACTGATTGGCTTATTGTGTCTACACAGATCGCTAAGTTGCAGATATACAAGAAAAAAAAATTAAGACTAAATTGTATTATTATTATTATGTAATAATACGAATATTTTCAACTCAAACAATCAAAAAATACCTTCATATATAAAAATTTAATACTGTGCAAATAAAATTAAGCAGACAATATATTTCTTTAACAAAACTTACATATGAAATTCTGAATTAAATGATAAGAGAATATATTTATAACTATTTAAAAAAAGTGTTCCCTTTCCATACTGGCATAGCCGCAGCTTAAGAGGAGTCTCTTAGCGTCTAGGCAACATTAAATAAGATTCTGTTTTATGTTGAATCAGCCTTGGCTTCTGTAAAACTATTTCCTATGAACTCTTCAAACAACCAAGTTTCTTTCTTCAAATAAAACAGCATTTACCGAGTCAATATTTTATACAAGCGAATAGCAAATGGAGAATTCAACATTATAAAGTGTGCAACAATATCTTTACCTGTAAATCAATTATATTAGTAACATAAATATTTCTTCATTAAGCAACAATATTAGCAGTAAAAGTTAATGTAACTTTTACTGCTAATTTCAAGTCTCTACAACCAGCGTTTTAGACTGTCCGTTATCTGTCAGTCAGTATGTTAGGATATCTCGTTTATATATGAATATATTACTCATTGTCACGAGTAAACAGATAGTTTTAAAATATAAAGCAAACCAAAATTTTAAGGAATAGTTTTTGTACTTTCATAACTTCACGATTTCGTTTTACTCTTGAAAAGGTGATTATGTAAAGGCACAAAGAAGCGAATACGAGTATAAAAACCCGTGTTTTTCTGAATGAGAGTAGTTATCTCTGGGGAAATTATAAAGTATATTCTCACGATCAGTCAGTCCAGTCAGTCAAAATTTTAATGTTATTTTTTGGGATAAAGCTTACGAATGCAGAAAATAAAACATATACATTTATATGTTAGAAATCTCTGTACTTATTTACTGTGATAATCGAAGTATACTCATACTTAGTCTGAGATCTTCATAATTCACTTTATAGTTTCACAATGTAGCATTGTGCGTGCCGCGAATATTTAGAGAATCCAATCAACGAAAATAGACTGGCAACACTATCGACCGGTTTCTGAGTTGAGAATGGTAAAAGATCTCAACTTATTATTTTCATTTTTTTTTTTTACTTTTCCCAAGACAAAAGGTCCTATTTTTTAACAAATTTCTATCAACTTATCATTAAAAAAACTAAAATCAGAAACGAAAGCTGCTTAAGTGATATTTACATACAGTTTGTGACGTGCTTAACTTTGAATACTCAATCTGCTGACACTTTTTTTAAACAAATGATCCCAAGAAACAGGGCAACTTCATAGGGCCCTCCTCGTACAAGCATGGCCCAGTTCAAGCAAGGAGATATCACCAAGAACATCACTACTTGCAGCATAAACAGAAACGTCTTCCAGTTAGACCGACTGCACGACAGTCAAAGAGGTAGGAAATATTTTTGTAAGTACACTTGCATACTTTAATTACTGTTGGTCCAAAATAGCACAAGACAAAGTTGTCTTGGCTCATAGGCTATAACACCCCATTTTTTAAGCCGCCTCACTAAGACCAAGAAATACAAACTTCTCTGACACAGAAGACTATTACAACTTGGAGTAATTACAAAATGTATACCAGTTAATGGACAATATTTTTCAATTATATTTACAGTACCAAAACCCAATGGCCAACCAATTATCTGAAATATTATGAAATGTACACATGTTATCTGAAATTGCAGAAAATATTTCCTTTCTTAAATATGTTAGACAGGGAATTGAGAGAATAAAGATGTAATCATGTATGATTACTAGAAAATAAAATGGGAGTCTACATGGGACGTTTTGGAAATAAATAAAGCCAACGGCTGTGTTAAAATTTCAAGATAAACTCGTTTCCCATTCAATTCACAGGCAACAGAACACATAGACAGTCCATTTGCATTTTTATTGGACCCGTTTAAAGAAACAACGGTTACGCAGGAACAAATATCGGACAGTTGAACGTATTTGAAAATGTTTGTGCACTTGGGCACAAATACCGTATAGAGGTTTTTTGATTAAAAAAAATTTTAGTTAAAAAAAAACAAACATTTTATAATATACCATTCTATACCTCCTTTATTTCCTTTATTATTGTATTCCGTTTTTATAAAGGTTTGAACTTTGATACTATAGTTACAACTGCAAGATTTTTTTATTAAATTTAAATTTTGCTATCAATAATATTTGATTAAAATATATTTTTAATAATAATAATATGACATAATATTAGTGTCGAATTTGAATATTATAACGCTTTTTACCTTTTGAACATCTTATCTGTCAACAATAATTGTATATTATTTCACAATATAAAGTTTGATTTTATATTTTACGTTTATTCTACATTTGCTTTTTTTACTCGACTTTTACATTTAAAATTTCACAAAAAAAAATAAGGTAGTTCTAGATTACTTCATGTTAAAAAATAATCATAAAAGCTCTTCTTTTCATAAAAGAAATGTAAAAGCTGATGACAAGTTTAAAAAAGTAACAAAATGCAATGAGAATGGAAAAATCTTCACTTAGACTATGTGAAGTCCAAAAAAACATGCATACAGGAGGGCGCATGATCAGAGTCGTATATAGGTCTGCAATCTTGATGTAATAGTCAACGACAGATTTTATGAAGCCACCTGATGAATTGTGGGTAACATTTTACAGTAGTCACATAAGTATATTTAACGATGTCACTCGCATTAATAAAAAAGTGGCACTATTAATAAATCAACTTTGAAGTGTGTAATTATTATATGATCTGAATTACTATCAAATAGCAGCAATAAAATAATGTTTTAAACCATATTATTTGTTAAAGAACATTATGGCAGTAAACATTTTTTATATTAAATTATTTATAACATTAATAAATGTTACTGTTCAATATAAGTTTATTACAAATGAGGTGTTTTCCTGTGACTCTATCCACATAAATTATAGCCTGTCTTTCGCGTATGATAAAAGGTTCCCGTAAGTGTAAGAGTTTCTTATATCGGTCCAGTAGTTTCAGGGCCTTTTCGATACAAACAAACAAACAAAAAATGACATAGACGTCCTTATTAGTAATACTTAAACATTAGTTTTTAAAGCTTGAAAAGTGAAACAGGAAATATGTATTTCTTAATTATGTTATTCTCAGCCCGGCCCTGTGAATAGTGAAAGCTCAAAACGGAATGCCGAAAGAAACAATGAGAAATAGCGCGCTACACGTCATAGCCAAGTATCATCGTCTACTCTCCCGGTATGCAGCGATCCTTCAAAGGCAGCTCTCATCTTAATATGACTGTTTTAGTCTTATTTCGTGTGACATTACCAGCCCTCCAAAGAACAAAGCTTTGGGACTGCACGGATGTCTGGTTGGTTACAAAATTTCTTTGTCTGCATAGGTAGGCTTATTATAACCGACTTTAAAAAATGAAAAAATAATATCTATTTAATAACTAGAAAAGTAAGCAAGAAATTCAAATAGCTTATTCAAATCTTCTTTTATAGGTAGACACGAAATAGCTTGCCAATTATTTTTTAGTATATTAATATCAACCATCCCAACTTCGAATGTATTTTCTTGTGTTTATAAATAAATAATTAGTAAATATTAAAAAATTATATCCAGATTTTGACAGATATATTTTTACATCGTCGTTCTTAAAATTCTGATCTGATCTTAAAATTGAACTTAAATATATCTGGGGGTAAAGAACTCCCCCGCCAAGTCGAGCACAAAAGTAAATATTGTACGGACGTACCATCCTTTTCTCGAAGACATTCGGGCCTTTTTGGACCCCTGTTCAAACTTACTACTGAAGTTCCACAACAACAGGAATAGACCACTTCAGTAATTAGTGGCAACACTTGTTTATAACTGATTGTCAACTCAAATATTTGTACGCCGCGCCGCCACAATAGTAATTATGCTAACAATTTGTTATTAATAACGTAAACAAGCGAATCTCGTTAGCTGGCAAAATCCGTTTATCCAAAACTATATCAACATAAACATTGAGCTTGGTTGTGTAAAAGTGAGAGGACTATTATTGTAGTTTGTGAATTGCTTCTAAATATGCTTATTTATTATTTTAAAAATGATAAGCATAAGTTTCATTTCTTTATTTAAGTTTAATTAAGTTATTAAAGTTAAATTATTAATAAAACTTTTCCTCGTAACTTTATTATTAAATACCGGCTATACATATCTCTCTTTTGCATTTTTTATTTTTTTATATCGTGCAATTTTTATTTTCACTTCATGCTTGGTGTCCTCTTCCTCTTCATTGGTTCTGTGCCCAAAAGGAAGTAGCAAAATCCTTATGAGAATGTCTGCTATCTGTCAGTCCGTCTATCATATCTGATTTTCTCCAGAACTAAACCGTCTATTACTACTTCGAAACTGGTTGAATGAAGTTAAAATTTGGTACATACTCGTACGTTTCAGACTCAAAGACGATGTAAATATTTAAATTTTTAATTCTAAGACCTTCTTGGGATGGTAAATCAGAAAATGAAAAAAAAAATCACAAAATTATTATCAAATAACACGATTAATAGTGAGAATTTCAAATAGGTATATATTTATTTTATATAATTTCAATTTTAAAGAAAAGCTGTGAAATTTTAATTTTATTTAATCAGAGGGGAAAGCTGATCTCTCAAAATACAACGCTTAAAATTTTGAAAAAATATAGCAAATAGGTAAACAATTATGAATGAACTAACAAAATCAAAAATTTGCTTATAATTTTTTTTTAAATCTAATTATTTGTAATATATTAATTCAATTTATGCTTGACTAGCTTATTATGAGCAGATTCTCGGTATCGTAACCACTGTTTACCCATGTAAATTTTTAAAAGCGATCAAATCGTTTTAAGACTATTAAATTCAAGCAAACAAACAAACAATCAGATCTATTCTTTTTATTATATTATAGATGAAGATATACGATGCAACACTGACAAAATTCACTTGGCGTATTGAAGAGGCGCAATAACAATTTGGAACTCATCACAGTACGCCGCGCCTTCTTCGGACGGCGCAAGCACGACTAATTTGGCTCCGCCGCAGAATAGGCCGGTCTTCAAAGCAAATTCGCTGCCAAAAAGTACTCTATTTCGGCACTCTTCGCGCCAGTTTACGGCCCGACGCCCTGTAATTGCACACATTATGCTAATATATGTTTCTATTTGCTATTACAGCACATCTGGGGTAACTTGGCGTTTTTATTGCTCATTACTTTAAAACTTTCGATATATATAAAATTCATTAAACAACTCACTTTGATAATAGAGAGGAATAACGTTACGAAATATATGCAGACGTCTAGCTATGGATTCGTGAGCAGTAACTGCTATAATAGGACACGGTGGTGATAGCGCAGAAAGCATCTGAGCTGACCTCCCACTAGTAGTTAGCAATACAATAGCATCTGCATCACTCTTCCAGGCAGCTAAAGATGTAGCTATCATTATTGTCATAGGCAACAGTTGAGGTGATTTTATCTATAAAGCAATATAGACTTAGGGCGCTTGTGCACTACACTGAATTTTCAGGGCCGGCGGTCCGATTTTTTCCGGTCCGAAATGACATGAAAAACCCGGATGAGTAGCTTGTGCACTTGTCCGTTTTTTTCCTGATCGGAGCGGCGCAGTGTAGGGCAGCTCTTTTTGAAGCTACACGTCACTTACGCTAGGTACGATGAGATTTTTGGAACGTCGGTAATTCCGTTCGAAAACGTAGAACGGTACCTAAATAATTATCTGATTGTTTTAAATAAACCATAATAAATTATGGCAAGACGAAAGCATTATTTTACTACTATCGGATGACTACTATCAGATGTAAAAACTTATACCCTTACTAATTTAGGAACAGCATTATTTAAATACAATAGCTAAAAATATCTGTGACATTAGAATAAAATGACTGATAATGGTCTAGTACTTGATGTTTAAATTTTTAAACGTGCTATTTTTTTTTCAAAGTTTTGTAAAAACAACTTTCAGCAATTACAGAGATAGACCAATCGGTGGCGCCATTACGTAAACAAATCGAAATTATATATAGGCATAATTTTATACGCGTGGTGTAGTTTCTTTGAGCAGAAATACTATTCCCTTAGAATACTTCGTTTTTTTAAATTTATTAATGACACAAATATACATTTAAAATTTTATTAAATGCGAAAAAGATATTAAGTGTCACTTAATTACTTATGTTAATCTTCTGTTTATTTTTTATTATTACTTCTGTTGTCAAATATTCATCTATAGTTATCAATTGTCTAAAAAAAATTTGATAATAACAAATTTCCAGGCAAACTTTCATCCCCTATTTTTCGCGATAAAATGTAGCCTATGATCTTTCTTAAAGTTAAGTCTATTTACTATATTAATTTCCATTTAGATGGGTTCAGTTGTTTAGGCGTCTAAGCGTAACAACACTTATTTATCTTATCTTAAGCTATCGATACTTTTAATACGATTCTCAAATCTAGCTAAGTATCGATACTAGAACCATACGCTGATCAAATTAGAACTATACCGAGTTTGCCAAAGCATATGCAGTGATATATACCAACTATATTAAATCATCATATAAAATATAGCATTTTATAATCAACAATAAATATCTATTATAAGTTTATTGGAAATTAACAAAAATTGCCGAAATAAATATCGATTCAAATCGATTATTTTTTCCCAAGCCTATTCCTTATGAATTTTCCGGATCTCGGACACAGCAGTGCACAAGCGTAAACACGTTTTTCATTGCCGCCATCACGGACCTGAAAAAACCGGTCCGGAATAGAGAAAAGTAAAATTCCGGACGGTAAAATTCCTGACAGTGCACAAGCGCGCATTACTTACATATGGTCTGACATATCGGACCTGAAAAAATCGGACCGCCGGACATGAAAATTCAGTGTAGTGCACAAGCGCCCTTAGGGCGCTTGTGCACTACACTGAATTTTCAGGTCCGGCGGTCCGATTTTTTCCGGTCCGGAATGACATGAAAAACTCGGATGAGTAGCTTGTGCACTTGTCCGTTTTTTTCCTGATCGGAGCGGCGCAGTGTAGGGCAGCTCTCTTTGAAACTACACGTCACTTACGCTAGGTACGATGAGATTTTTGGAACGTCGGTAATTCCGTTCGAAGACGTAGAAAGGTACCTAAATAATGGTCTGATCGTTTTACATAAACCATAATAAATTATGGCAAGACGAAAGCATTTTTTTTACTACTATCGGATGACTACTATCAGATGTAAAAACTTATACCCTTACTAATTTAGGAACAGCATTATTCACATACAATAGCTAAAAATATCTGTGACATTAGAATAAAATTACTGATAATGGTCTAGCACTTGATGTTTAAATTTTTAAACGTGCTAGTTTTTTTTGAAGTTTTGTAAAAACAACTTTCAGCGATTACAGAGATAGACCAATCGGTGGCGCCATTTCGTAAACAAATCGAAATTAGTGCCGTGTCAGCGGAGAATTATTAAGCTAAATGAACTTTACGAGATCAGTTGACTGTATTATTTATAGGCATAATTTTATACGCGTGGTGTAGTTTCTTTGAGCAGAAATATTATTCCCTTAGAATACTTCTTTTTTTTTTAAATTTATTAATGACACAAACATACATATAAAATTTTATTAAATACGAAAAAGACATTGAGTGTCACTTAATTACTTTTGTTAGTCTTCTGTTTATTTTTTATTATTACTCCTGTTGTCAAATATTTATCTATACTAATCAATTGTCTAAAAAAATTGATAATGATATTTTAAAATTTGATATACAATTTTTCGGGTTAAAATGTAGCCTTTGTCCTTTCTTAAAGTTAAGTCTATTTACTATATTAATTTCCATTCAGATGGGTTCAGTTGTTTATGCGTCTAAGCGTAACAACACTTATTTATCTTACCTTAAGCCATCGATACTTTTAATACGATTCTAAAATCTAACTAAGTATCGATACTAGAACCATACGCTGATCAAAATAGAACTATACCGAGTTTGCCAAATCATATGCAGTGATATGTTAAATCATCATATAAAATATAGCATTTTATAATCAACAATAAATATCGATTATAAGTTTATTGGAAATTAACAATATTGCCGAAATAAATATCGACTCAAATCAATTATTTTTTCCCAAGCCTATTCCTTATGAATTTTCCGGATCGCGGTCACAGCAGTGCACAAGCGTAAACACGTTTTTCATTGCCGCCATCACGGACCTGAAAAAACCGGTCCGGAATAGAGAAAAGTAAAATTCCGGACGGTAAAATTCCTGACAGTGCACAAGCGCGCATTACCTACATATGGCCTGACATATCGGACCTGAAAAAATCGGACCGCCGGACATGAAAATTCAGTGTAGTGCACAAGCGCCCTTAGTCGAATATTAATTAATGAAATAATCTCATTGAAAGCACTTTATAGTAAGATATTTTTTGTCAATCATTTATTCTGAGAGTTTTGTGACACAACAGAATGCAAGAATCTCGATAACTTCCCACATTTGCTTACACATCTACTGAGATTGTTTCATCGACTATTGGATTCTCGGGCTATAGAAATTTTGTTTAATCACTACCATGACTATGTAAAGTAGATCGATAAGTTAATGATAACTACTTTAAAATTCAGTTTCAACATTTGACGGACGTACATGACTGTATACATTTCAAGTTAAATAAAAACTTATGATATCTTAGAAAGAAAACCACAATTTCAACTTTTTAATTGGCGATAGGTATATGCTGTTAGCCATACTCACTCTCATTCTTAAGGTTTTAAACCATTTATCAAGATCTCTTCTTCTTTCCACCAGATGAAGAGCTTCAGTAACATTTAAAACAATATTTTTAAAGTCTTCAGTCTTAGTAAAGGTTATCACCACGCCGTCCATAGAACCAACCACTATCTCATTAGCAACAGATAATACTTTTCGTCTGCCGTCAAAATTATTGATATCTTCAAAGAAATTAGGTTTCGAATAAAATAACGATTTTTCGTACTGGAAAATGTAGTCACTTTACAATATTAAATTAAAAAATTTATTAAAATTTATTAAATTTTATTAAAATTACCTTTTTGCACATTTCTGCAACTTTCAATGACCTCCCGTGAGACACGTCCGAAAAATCAAAAATTATTCCATCTGAAAGCTGTGAAATACTTAATTGTATATCGCGTTATATAATAGTTTATTTTTTTTTAAAGATACCTGAATTAATTTCAATAGTGCTTCCATATATCCCTCCGAAATCCAAAAAAAAACGGGCACATTCAATTTCATGTTTTTCGTTTTAAATTCAATCACTTGCTCTTCGTTTTGTATATTTTTGAGTACTATAAAATCCGCCTACAATAAAATAATTCAATCATTCGATATTTACTTTGTAAATATGAGTACAATGGGAATTAACTACTAAAGTCAAAATACATGAATGAATATTATGATTCAAACGCACCATCGTATCACTAAACTTCTTAATTTATGTGTACAATAATTTCAGAATGAATTATGTCCTAATTTGATTAAAATAAAAAAATGAAATAATACGTACTCTTTCATCCACTTCTACGGGATCATCAACTGACATTGTGATTGACAGTGCAACAGGTCTGAAGTATATGGATGATCGTATTCTAGGCATTAGTACAGCTTCGCAAAGTGCTGTCTTCAGGTATTCATAAAAATTTTTGTTTTGTATAGTCCTATCAATATTGAATATATTTACTCCATTACATAATAGACAATAAATATCATCAGCATCAATATTGTTTCCTAGAAATAAATGAACAATTTATTGTGTGAGTGTTTGCAAATTGGAAACAAATTGAAACTGTGGTTACGTGCAAAAATTTCAGTTTCCATGTACTTTAAAGCAAGTTATATATTTTTACATAATGCTTTATCATATTGATACTCACTTATATTGAACATAATGTTTACTGATTGAAACAATCTGTCACTTACAGCACAAAATTTATCAATCGCCTAGAAAGTTTTTTTAAAGATTATTAGTTTTTATGGACAAGTTAGTTGAGTATTACTTAACTTTAGCTTTAAGCTAACGGCTTACCATTTTATCAGAATATTTTTTATAAGGCCTATCTACCCACCAAACCATTTTTACGTTTCACAGTTTCTTATATACTGCGTATTTTATTTATATATTTGGCTTGTCAAAGATCATGACCGTATAGATAAATGGACGAAAATTAAAACTAATTAACACCCAAACAAATTTTCCAAAAATACTTATTTTATACTAATTTAATTGAATACTAATTTTTAAATATTAATTTTATTAAAAATAGTATTATAAAAATGTAGTTAAGAAGTACAACGCATTTTGCAAATTCCTCGTTGAACTTTCACCTTTTTTCCTAAAAAACTGTCATCTTAATAAAACTTTTTGAATGTAAGCCATCCTAACATTACATTTTTAATAAAACTAAAGGTAAACCGAAAAAAAAACATATATGTTAGAAAAATATTATTTCTGGTATAAATTGTTATATTTTTCACTTACTTGTAATGGCTAATTAGAATTGGGTTGTTTATACTGTGTAAGAATAAGAGGGTGACTTTCTGTGGCTTCACCACAACATTAAGTATAAGGCAAGATATTTTATGAGTTAAAATGTGGCTACATCCATCGTGTAGCGAGAGTACTTCAATTTATGTGCGTAATTAAGTGGAGTTTGCGTTCGGGACCAGCGCTCGGCACTTTCCAGCGGTAAATGAAATTTACGTACGCCTCCACCTTTCGAACGTATCTTAAGATATTGGTGTAATAGAGTAGCGTCAGTACCGTATTTACCGTTTCCATTTTTTATATAAGCGTATAAGTGTGCAATATAAAGTTTTTACAACAATAGATTAATTCTTCTCATTAATATATTGTTGTATAATGATAATTGAATATATCGTTGAGCATTAATAATTATTAAAGCTATCCATTTAATTTTCAACCTTAAATGTTTGTTTTCAAATCATACCAACTGCGGCACTTGCCTTACATAAAACATTAGGCTCTATCACAATCATTTATATTATTGAAATAATTTAAAATCTTTTAATGAAAATATACCAGACTCGTAAGCTTCTTACTTGTACCACGACATAAGGCTTTTAGTCTAGAAACGTAAGAGAAAAGGGTGCCCGAGACGCTGACTCTGCTCGGTTACATTAATAACATTTAGTTCCCCAAAAAATGATAACTCCCCCATCAGATTAGATTGCGTCGGTTAGGCGATGATTTCACAATTATTTAAATTTAACGATCAACTTTTAGAATGCGCATAGGTATAGGTGAAAAGCCAACAAAGTATAGTGTGCGCGGAAGTACTAGTCACCGCCTTAGGTATGCAGGCGGTGAGACTGGGGAAGGCGCGATTGACAAGACGCACATGAGGTATTTAAGGACAGATAAATCTCGGGATAACATGTTAGAATCTATCTTGATCAATGAAATGGCGGTATTAACAATGTAATATTTCTCTATTTACGATACAGTTTTATGAGCAAATTACCATTTCTCAATAAATAAATTTATTATCACCATTATAGTACAAAATTAATCGATGTCTTCTTTTTCTTCATCATTAGACATGTCTTCAATTTCCATATCCTGCTCAGAAACTGACTTATTTCCTAGATTTATGATTAACTCGTCTATCACATTGTCAAACTTCATGTCGTGGTTCCAATATTGGTTCTCGATTTGTCTTTCAATGATGAATTTATATAATTTGAAGCTAAATGGTTATTTTTATGGGCCCACACTAACTCAATGGGGTTGAGATCGGAATGATACGGCGGAAGGCGAAGAACGACATGACCAGCCTTTAAAATTTCGTCAATGGTGTATTTTTATCGGACTGAGTTCTTTTTATCAGAGAAAGGAGTTCAGGGTAATCCCCGCATTACGAATCTGATTTGAAAATAGTTAAAGCACTGTCAACTAATCCGTTTCGACTGCCACCATGAACAATCACTAACCGACGCCCTTTGCCAATATCATCATAAATACCAGGCTCAGGTTCGGATTGCCAACACATTTTGGAGTTGTGGCTACGGTTAACGTAGGTTTCGTCCAGAAAATATATGTTTCGGTTTTCATTTCTATATTTCGGTTAGCTCTTAAATACCTTACTCGCCATTCAGACATCCTGGGTCTCTCAATCAAATATGTCTCTTAGATTTACATTTCTTAAAGAAATATCTCATCTTGTGTTAAAGCTGTCTTAAATAGGTACAACCGCACTTCATGATACCATCTTCTTTTAAACGGCTTACGCAAACAGCAAACAGCTTACGAATACTTGGGATTTTTTATCAACAGTATAAAACTGATAATTTTGTCTCCATATTACACCCATGTCGAAATCAATATGGATTCCCTTTTTTATTTATTTAGGTTTCCGAGGAGATGAAAATGTCAGGTTTTTCGATGTATTTGGAGATTCTAATTTCCTTCAGCTACAATTCTTATTACTCTGCGAGCTAACACTTATATAGCCTCTGCTACTAAATTATTAATGTTCATATCATATTTATGTTCTATACTTTCCTTGTCAAACTTTCGTATGAGGAAATACTGGACACTGTAAATAACATTTTTCACTTGTCATGTTATTGGCAGACCCATCTTAGGATATTTTATCTCATGTATGTTTCAAACAAAGTGGCACAAACAACTGAATCGTGTAATCGTTACGGCGGTCGACGGCAGACTGAGTCAGCTTGACGATTATGTACCTCCCACCATAGATAATTCATAAAGCTGGAAACAAATTATCGGACGCGGCTAACGGGCGCGGCTGTCAGCCGCGACTTATAGGCATCTAGGTAACGAATGTACACTAAGCTGTTCAGACTATCGGATGTAAGTCGTGGACGTAACCTTGGGCTGACCTTCGGACGTCCGACAGGAATCTGGCTCGCTGGATGTTTTTATCAGCCGAAAACGTCCGCGGACGGTATGCACGGGGTGCGGGACGCACCCTTGCATCAGAACGACGCTGTCAACGCGAGAGATTCCGTGTCCACGTGCGTTAAAAATGGAGGAACGAATTATAGAGTGTGTTCGCAACAAAGAATTACTTTATAATCCTAAATTGAAGGATTATAAAGATGTTATAAAAAAACATATAGGAGTACGAAACTGTGTTGATTGTTTTTCAATGGCGTTTTCGATTAGATTTAGCAAAAAAATAAATTGATCCTCATTAATTCTCAAATAAAGTTTATAGCGACATTCATCAAAGTGTGAAATTCACCACACTCCGTTCTTTCTTTATTTATGTCATGGACCCAAAGGCTTCTTTTTATTTTCTTTCTGGCTGGACAACATAAAGCTGCTACCGCTAATTCCAAAAATTCGTCCTCACTTTCACTACTCGACATGTTTCTTCGTCAACAATTCTTAGTGGAATAGGCATCGAAACGCGTTCGCAAGCCACGTCCTTGATGACTGTGCAAACTTATAAGTCGCGGCTTTCAGCCGCGTCCGTCAGCCGCGTCCGATAATTTGTTTCCAGCTTAATACTGGTACGTTCTGCCGCTCACATACTTCAGACAGAGCACACTATAATACGGCGGGACTGGACAATTACACAGGCATAGGGGATAACGCACTGCGTGTAATAAAACATATAAATATTTTTTATTCGCTTTAATTTATTTGGTATAGTATTTTTTTTAATATATACAATTTACTGGTATAATATCTTTCGTGTTTTATTTCAGGCAGTACACCACCGCCGCAAAAGAGGCAACTTTATTTTCTTTAAAAATTTGATTGTAAAGAGAGATTTCTCAATTTTATTACAGATTCTTCTGGTTAAATACGTTACTATTGAAATTATATTCGTTTTTTTACGACCGTTGCAGAGAAAAAGCACCATACCATAGGTTTCCGCGCACACTATAAAATGGCGGGACTAGACAATTACTGTGACAGATTGTACTTTTGTTTTGTTGCTAGGAGTTACCAATAAACAGTTGCGTTTAAATGGCCGTGGCGTTTACTTTAGTCTCCCATAATTCCCCGAATTCCGTGATATTAGTGGCGACCGTTTAATAAAA